GTTGGACCCGAGGCCATATGCGAGGACGAGTCGGATCCCAAGTTAGAACTCTTTCCTTTTCTAGCACATTTTGGGTTGGCTATATGTTTATTTCACTTGAATACATTGTCCTTATGCCAGTGATGGCATGCATTGCATTGTGTGTTCATTCTCATGGATTATTGGTGGTATGATCCTTACTCATGTATTGGCATATTTATCATTGATGATGAGATATAGTTTTACTTAACTTTTATTCTAAAACTTGTTTTAATGGGAGTTATGCCACTTGGACTACTTGACTTATTGGTTGTTGATATCAAAAAACATTAGGGACGTGCTCCATTTATACTTGAGATATTAGAGGCATCTGATATGCGCTCAATTTTATTCTTGTATGATTTTGGCTACTCATGAGCCTTATAGGTTCAAGGCATGGTATTATAAGACCTAGTTTGGGCCTAGGTAGTGTATACGGACTTCCCACATCCCCCTGGACTCCTCTTTTTGTGTGACCCACTAAACAGGAAGAGAGAGCCACATGGGTCCTACCTCACCCGCATGACAGGGAGGTAGCTCTATATACTTGGCTACAAATGCTTACTGATGGTCCTATTGTATCCTCTACATTCACATGTATTGCCGATCACTAGTATACTTATTTGTTGATTGCACTCTCTAGTTTATGGGGGCCGTTTGGGTTATGTTTGTACCTTCTGAGCTTATGGGGTCCGATTAGGTGATTGTTTGACTATATTATGTTCACTGTTATCACTTGATTTGTTAGCTTATAGGCATGACTTTAGAATTGTGATTATGGGCCTCCTAGCCTAGGTAGTTGACCTGATTTCTTAGTTGTTTATGAGTACGTTGTTGGCTTGAATTCCAGGTATCTTTTTGCCTCAAGTTCTTACCCTTTGGACCCCATTTTGATTATATTTTGCATGTTTACTTTAGTATCTCCTACTTGTTACTTGTGCTATGCTTTCCTTATTACTTGTGATTTATGCATGTGTTATCTTTTGAGCTCAGTCAACCATTGCCTAGTGAATACCATTTTTGGTACTCATACTACACTTCTTCTCCTTGCAGATTGTAGTTTGAGTTATCACCGTTGACAGGGAGTCGTGCATAGCAACTTGGAGTTGCAGAGATTAGGATGAGCTTCTGGCATCAAAAGATATTTTGTTTCCATTTGTTTTTGCTAGGATCAGTCTTTATATTGTATTCAGAGACAACCTCTACCTATCTTGTATTTGTAGAAACTTGTACTCTTGTTTTGGATTAGATGCCTGATTATTGACTGATGCAGGTCTTGGGATGGTTTCTATTTGTATTTTTAGTGTTTTTGGTTCTCACTTTATTCTCCTGTTTTAGGCTTTTTGCTTCTTCTTGTTGACTTTCGCTTGATAGTATGTTGCTTATGGCTCTTGACTAAGGGTTAGGCTTACCTGCTTGTGGGGTGTGGTAGGTGCCATTAGGATCTGAGAAGTCGGGTTGTGACAATTGTTTAAAACAAAATTAAAAGGGGGGGGGGGGGTTTTTTTT